ATAGATAAACTCGGGTTTTAGTCACCCGTGACAGCATGAAGTTAACAACGTCGCTATAGTAGTTCCAGGTGAGGCGTCTTTGAGACTTGCAGAATAGTTTGCGACTGATAATCAGAATAAATATTGAAGAATGAATACCATTTTCAATCAGTTTGCGGTTTAATACATATCACTGCCAATTTGATTGACGTATTGTACCTGCGTCTATTTTTTTTATTTATTTATTGCATTTAGGATTTACTTTTTTTTTAATTATTTTGCAATTTGTCTTTTTATCATGTGCGTATTATTTTGCATTAGTTTAGCTATAAGCGCCACATATTTTGCAATAAACCAAAACTAAATTAAATTGAAATTCTTTACTCTACTATTCTATCATACAGACGTTTAAAGAGTTTGAAGAACGATACAAAGCGTGGCCGTCCTACGAAATGTATGGCCCTAATATTGCCTTTGCTTCCGGATACGATACCGCATGGGCGGCAGCCTTGACCCTCAATAAGACATCTCAAATCTTGGCAGCACAGGTGAGCACATATTAACACTACGATTCATCTCTCTAAAAATAATTTACACTACAAATACTAAAATCTGCTTCCATGTGAAGTGAAATATTCTTTGATGCTTACTGGGCAAGGAACATACGATGCAGTCATGCAGGATGTTTGCAAAACATTGCAGTATAAAATTATTTCATCATTAACGAAATCCCTAATATACATACGCCAATATACCGTATTTGCTTTATTGGTAGCTTATGTGCTTACGTAAATTACACAAATACTCCTATGGTCAAGATTAAAGTAAAGTTTTAATGACTCATATATACAACAAACTATATTTTTGGTTTATATGCTCGTCTATTACAGATGCGGTTCAAGTTATATGCACTTTTATTAAGGTTGTAGGCCTAAAAAAGCAAATGCGGTATTGCAGCTGTTTCATGTTCATTGTTTGTTGAAAAGAAACTCAAATAATTACAAATATCTTTTTAAAGCAATTCAATTTACTGATGTAACGCACATAGTTCACGTCACATACCTGCATTTGTCATATAGGCAAGGTTTAGATTGAAGTGATCGAGACGTATTTCAGGTCAGATGGTTTTATTTGAAAAAAAATGTCAAGAGAATCATTAAGAACGATATTTGAAGTCTATGAACATGGCAACGAAACGTATGCAGGACAGTGTTTTATTTATTTACTGTCTTTGTTATTTATAAGTATAAATTAAAGGACCCTTCTTGCAAAGTGCCAGCTTCAACTAATTCGAAAATCAACAAAATTTGGTCTAACGTTGGAGACCACCCTTAAGACAAAGGAAGCCGCGCAATCATTCAACGAAAACACGTCAAGTTATTTGCGTAGTTAGAGGACTTGTATTATTATGTAGCATTTCATTTTAGCTTCACTTCATTTGACTATCACATGAATTTGACGAAAGTATATACTGCATAATTCAATTTAAATCTATTTAGAGTCACTAAGTCAATTAGTACAAATTTTAACAAGTCCTCGTAATAAATGCCTGACAAGAAATGCTATAGAAAGTACACTTTGTTGATACTTTAATCTCAAACACATATTTCTAGATGGAATAAATAAGAAATTTATATTTTTCAATGGCTATAGTAATAGATGATTTTGCAAGACCGTTGTTAAATACGATTCAAAACTGATTTGGGAGTGTATTCTGTAGTGAAGTACATTCTGACCTCCGATATTAATATTTCTAAATTATCTGCGACAATTTTTTCCACACGTCCAACTACACATTTAAAATTAAATAATTTTTTGGTTCATTTCATAGAATTGGGAAATGTACTTTTTACGTAATACTGGTAGTTCAGGGACTCATGGCCGGAAGTAACGCAAATTCTAATAATGTGGAATAATAATCGGAATAAAAGCGAATAAAAAAAAAATGGAAAGAGGAGGCCCTCTACCGTAAAATATATCCTATTTGGTTTGTTGAGTGATATGCAATATGATTTTCCCCTTTGTCTAATTCAATGATTATTCTCAGATGTATATCAATGTTACTTTCACCCGTACATTAATGAGTACAGTTCAAGCTACAGATTTACATAATAAAATCAGATGAAGAACAACGAACACGATTTTCCGACCTCTTTTGAGATTTGGCTCCTAGAATATTACCCCAAACACGTTGTGTCAACCACGTTGAACTTAACCACAATACAACTACGTACACGGGCGCATTGCTAGTGAATTATTGTGGTTAGGAAGAGTCGACCAATACACGCCCTCTGAATGGGAGAAAATACTAAAATATTGCCGCTTGTACATTTTCAAACAATCCCCACAACCAAAAACGACGGCTTTGTTAAACCAACATATGCGAGTATTGTATATAGGTCGCCGGGGACCCACATTATCGGAGGAAATAAATGATAAGAAAGAAACCATAATAAGCCTAATGGTTTACGCGATTCAACAAGAGATAACAAATCAAATATAAGTATATCAGTCTGTCATGGGATTGGACAAACTCTCAATATTTTATTTCATTTCAAGATTTCAACTGGGACCGAGACTGTTAACAGCCACATGTCAAATGACGTAACAATTTCAATTAACCAATCGAATGTGTAAAGCAGAAACAATCATTGACTCTATCACACATCGTGTCTATTTCCACCTGTTTTTCAACATTTATTGGTCGTCGATGATTTAATTATATTTAATATCTTGATAGAATTTTCTGCCAAACAGTTCGTACTATCAAAAATCGTTGGAGAATTTTACATATGGTGACACTGAAATGGCAGACACTTTTTATCGAATTATGAAGAATCTAAAGTTCCGTGGAGTATCGGTGAGTATTACACGAACAAACAAACACACATAAACGCCGTGTTTAAACGAAAGCCAATTTTTAAAATAAACCTTCTTGAATATAAATGATACTGCGATATCACGAGATCGTGACATCCATAAATTTACAATATATTAGCCGAAGGCCTGGCGTATACAACGTTGACGTCAATTAAAAATAATCAGCTTTCGTACTGCTAATTTAGGGAGAAGTACGATTCGATGACGTGGGGGATAGACGATTGTCTCATTCTGTCTCGCAGATAAGGGGTGAGTTTAAGTTGATAGCTGTTTACTATGACCTGGTAACACTACTTATATTTTTTTAAACACTACGACATTGCGCTTTCCACATTGTGAAGTTCTTTCGTTTTTATGGGGGAAAATTACAGTATTATTACCAAGTAAAATCATATTTATCATTTGTTTGTTCATATAGGAGTTGTTGAACACGCTGTTTTGTATTTCATAATTTCATTCAGATGTTTCCAGTCTTAATTCAAATAAAATGCAAAAACATCGATAATATAACAATTTATGCTTTGTCTTCAATATACTAATTTAAGTGGTAAAAATATAATTGGTGTGTATATGGAATGCATTTCGTTATAAACTATTCTTAACAGATTTATGAATTCACTTGTCAAAATCGTTTGGTTTCAGTTTTTTTTTTTGAAAAACGAAAGAATTACACAATGTCGAAAACGGAAAGTCACGATTACATCACCGTGTTTTTTATTCTCATCTGTTGAACGTTTTATGAACATTTAAGTAATAGCATTGTATCAAAAAACTGTCAGTTGAAGTGATTTACATATATAAGCACTAGAGTTGCCATTATTCCATTGAATGAATATTGATATGGTTGCCATCAAAATAAC